AAAGACATCGAGACATGGTTTAGTGGGCATGGTGGCGTTGAGTAGATGATTGGACTTGATGATCTTTGAGGTCTCTTCCAACCATAACGATTCTATCATTCTATGTGAGGGAATCTCTGCATGTAGCAGCAACATGTTACAGAGAGGTTACTATAAGTTTGAAAATACGGTTGACTACATCTTGCTATTTCTGTTTGGGTTGTAAGTCGGTTACGTAGGGACCATCTGTGTATTTTCCTATTTGCTGTGCATAGAACCACACTGACTGGTGTAGTTAATACCTTTTCAACAAGTGATTGCTGTTCTGCATGTTAGGCAAGAGCTGTGAAAGCTCTTTTGTAAGACCTATAACTGGATGATCAATGCCTGGGAAACTTGAGCAATCACATATAGACGCTTCATTAATCTTGAAGGCCTTAATTATTAGGATTAGCCAATTTTCCTGGAGTCATTACAGTAGATAACTATAAATAGTAAGGTTGACCCCTTCCAGCGATGACAGCAAGTGTTTTTCCGCTGGAAGTCTGTTATATCTTACAACAACATTTGCTGTAGACATAATTTCCGTTTTATATAGTATCAAGACATGTAACTTCCCAAAAAAGGGAAATATTTGGAGAGCACGTTTATGGAGTGCATTTAACAGGGACTGACTGTCAGAACATGCAGTAAAGAGCTCCTCTTGAATAGGTTTCCTCAATGCCCTTCTGTGGGCTTGAATGTAGCTACTTCAAATTGACTATCTTAGCCTGAATGAGTTAATGCGACTGCTTTCAGACATTGTATATAAATTTATGGAATGGTTTAGATACTGTTTTATTGTGGCTGGCAAAGTATAAAAAAGCCATTTTCTTTATTGTTGGGCTGTGATTTGATCCTTCTAACATGTAGCTAGCTGTGAATTCAGTAGATCTTTCAAAAATCTTGAAATTCCAAGAGCATTGAGGAGAGGACATAAAAAAGATCTAATGAAGAGATTTGGATTTACTTGGCCAACTGAAAGAAGTGAACTTGGAGAGAATAACTTCTCACTCAAGGATAGAGCAAGCCATCTGACTGACGGGTTTGTGGGCTGAGCAGGTTACTGGTTTGGTTGCAGCTCTGGTGGTTTGAATCTCCTGTGTGATCTGTTAGATAACTTTTCTGCCTTGGAAGGCTGTAGTCCAGTTTGTTAAAGCTGAAAAGGTTAGACTTAGAATGCATTTCTAGGGGATTTGTGACTGGAGAGAATCAAGAAAATAATTCCTATTTAAATTCATTTTCTCTCTGCCTTAGGGAGAGATTGACAATATACCAAATAGCCATTTTTGTTTCCAGATAATGATGATAATTTCCAGTGGAGTGTACTCTACATGCTGTTTTTCAGATTGAAATCAGATGTGATACAGGCAATACAAACTTGCCTAAACATATTCTGTGGTCCTGATAGTTTCCATCTCTGTAATTTAATATTTTAACTTTTGGAATAAGCCACGCTTTAAGATAGGGTGTAGTTATTCTAGTTGTGAAATGGAAGCCAGGTTTCATGGGTTTGCCACCATGAGGAACCTGTGCTTCAACCTTTATTTTCTTCATACAGATCTTTATGAAGGACTTGACATTTCTACTTCCTTCCTCAAGTACTACCTTAATGGGCTGTTAGCAAAATAGAAATTCTTGCTGTCTTGAAAAGTCTACACAAATGATGGTTGTGATGTGGAATGTAACAGTGCTGAGTTCAAATATCAGGAGTCTGTCTGACAATGGGTAAATCTCTTTGTTTCCCTTTCACCATTGGTAAGTCTGTGAAATTATGGAAATTCTAACAGCTTTGCACAATTCTTGAGCCTTAAAGCATTAGGGAAGCTACATGAACCGATGAACAAGTGTGTTTTCTAATATTTAACGTTTGGATAAAACACAAGCCATTTTAGATTGACTGGTTTTTTGGCCTGAAGCTTTTATGTTTAAGATTGTACTTCATGGAGAAATATTCTGCACTTGATAGGGTGTATTTTGCATTTAACTTTATATGCAATGTATCTTTGACTTACACAGCCCAAAGTCAAAGTAATGTGTGCCCTATTTAAGTAATGAGCTATTGATTTTAAAATTACTCATTTTATTACAATAATATGGAAGTAGTAATATTCTGAAAACTCATCTCTGAAATGGATGCTGTTTAATTTCAGTTTGAGATAGGACAGAAATGGAGTTTACAGACTTCACCTATTGAAATTTGGCGTATCACAGATCGCAGGGACTGTTCAGCCTCATGTAGAGCTGTACACTGTACTTAAAGCATCTGTGAAGAAATGCCTCTTCCTCTCGCTTAAGCTCAGACCTCTGAACAGGCTTGTAGCATCATGTCGCCTTTATTTGTCACTGGTAGCTATACCCTGTATGCATTCTGTTGCTAAGTATTTACGACACCTTCAGGATCAAAGAAATGCTGCCAAGAAGGATCATTGTGAGAAATTTTGACCTACTTTTCCATTTGGCACCGCTTTGCCTGCCGCAACCAGGTAGACTGTGAACAGGCCCTCAGCGTGTCTTCAGTGAAGAGGTCCGGTCTGACACTGAGATAAGAGAACCCTGTCACGGCAAAGCAAACAAAAAATGATATTGCAAACAGTCAGGGATTAAACTTCTTTTCCCCTTTTCTGCCCCCTTCTCCTGGGGATGCACAGTGAGTTTGCTGGGAGAAGGGGTGTGGAGGTTGCAAGTTTGGCTCATTTGTGTGGGCATGTTTGTTTTCCATCCTTTTCCTGCTGTGGGTTCTTAGCTCTGCAGCACTGGGGTGTGTGTAGAGGATCAATTGGCTTTCTGCGATCGCTTTAAAGAAGTTTAAACTGCTCATGCCATAAGATTATTGCAGGTCTCCTTCTTCTAGCACATAAGTGAGAAGAAATGGCCGCACGTTTGATTTTTTCAAACCTACATTTTTGCTTTACAGGCTGTGATGGAGTCTTCCTTATGTGGTACATGACTGAAACAGTACATTAGTAAGCTGTGTTTGTCAATAGAGATCAAAACTCCACGTTGCACTTCCCTTCCCTTCCCTTCCCTTCCCTTCCCTTCCCTTCCCTTCCCTTTCCCTCCCTTTCCCTCCCTTTCCTTTCCCCTCCCCCTTGCACGTAAACCACAAAACTTTGTAAAATTTTGGCAATTTAGTATTCCCACTTTCAGTGTCTAAACTGAAATATAATCTGGATAGTTTATGCAATAAATGTGCTGTACATGAAAAGAAAATCATAGGTGGTTTTCATACTTCTAATTTGAGCAGTCATAGACCACTACATTAGGATGAAGTGAGCAGAACTTGAAAAGGGCTGTTCGTTTCGTTAGCTGGAAAGGACCCTAGATGCCTCTTTTTTAGGTGTAGATGCCTGACGTTGATCAGGTGAATTGATGCAGAGTTTTCTGAGCACTGCTTTTGGAACTTCTACCTTCAGCTTTTTAAGGAACGATATGAATTTGTTTGGTTTTGTCAACAAAAATGAAAGAATTGGAGCAAGATTTGATGAGGTACCTAGCTAGTAGGCTTCTGAAATCTTTGTGTTAATGAAGTGAGATGAGAGTGGGATTTGGGTGGGGGAGAGAAGGGATGTTCTTTGAACCAAACACTTTCTATGTTTAGATTCTCAAAAAATAGCCTTCTAATTTCTATTAAGCTATTGATTGTTTACAAGGGAACTTGAAGGAAATGGGGTTTATTCATTTGATCGTGTATTAAGAAAAAGGCTGGAGACAGCTTTACTGTTGACTCTTCAGTGGACAAGTATGGAGCTCCACCTTGAAAATGTGAGCGGTGAAGAACAGAAACCAGAGCGCTTGCAGGTTCAGTCAGTTTCTGTAACATTAAGGCGTTGACAGAGAGCTTCCGCGCTGCAGTATGGGCTCTGAGAGTTGCGTATTACATCCCGCCCCAATATCCCTGAACAGGAGCCTGTTTGGCTTTCTCAAGAAATAGTCATTTTCTTATATCCTTTCCATAGCAGAGGTATCAGTTGTAAGAAAAGGCAATATCTGAATTCTACAGTAAATAATAGTAACTTGAGAGACAGTATTCAAAAACTGTTGGCACTTATGGAGATCATCTGTTGCTCAGAAAGTCACCATTGTGGTAATTTTAATTCGTGCGTAGTGTTTAAATACTCTGTAGTTTGGCAGACATAATTACATCATCACTTTAGCAGGAACGTGAAGTTGCATCCCTCAGTTAGAGTTGGAAAGTCGCCAAAAGGATAGTCTGTGATACACGGAAGATCCGGAGTTTGGAGGCTGTCCATTGGAGTCCTGATATCATCATCCTTGTCTTTGTTCAGAGCTTTAAATAAAAAGGTCACACCGATTTTTCTTTAATTAATTTCCTCCACCCCTTCTGGGTTATTAATGGCACTGAAGCAGATCTGGACTCTTATTGTACCGAACGCTTTAGTGACTAGATTCTGTACCAGACCAGTGCTAACAGTAGTTGGCTAGCAAAAAATCAAGAAACTTGCTCATACTTCTATCTTAAATAGTTTTGTAGGTATTCTAAAGCCGCCCAGCAGCGTGTTTTGCAGTGCTTACGACTCACGAATACTTAACCCCTGACACTGTCTTTATTCCGAAGAATGTCTTGCATCTTGTGCTGTTGAATGGTTTTATACCTAAAGAAGTGTTCAAAATCTTTTTTTTTCTTTTTTTTACTTTGAGCTCATTTTTAGTAACCTAATGTTTAATGAAAGACACTAAACAACCTAAGGGTTTTACAGATCATTCCCTGTATATGAAAGGTCCCGTTTTAATGTGGATTTTATGCATTTCTTCGGCTACCGTCTACTTTTTTCTTAGCCAATGACAGTAAGATTCCTAAGGCTACTTTCTCTTTAAGAACATACTGCTTACATAAATAGTCCTTTACACCATCTCCTTGTTTTATAATATTAATTGTTTATCGGAGGAAGGGAAATATTCCTTAGAAATGTGTTTTCCTGATTGTGCATGCCTTGTTACTATTTCAATTATGCAGATTCTTGATGCTGTGGAAATTTGTGCTTGATGACGCCAAGGCAGCTGCACGTTGTTAGCATTGTAGGCTGTCAGATGATCATGTGGGATTCTTGCAGCATGCAACATTCAATAGGATTGAAAAAGGGCTTTTGATGCAAGGCATAGCTTTCAGAATATATTTGTGCCTTTTAGTTAGCTAATATAAAATCATAATTTATTATCTTTAAATTTAAAATGCTGCCTCATTTTTCTTCTGGTTGGTTTCATTTTGGCTTCACTAGAAGATGCATCTGGTACATCCACGATTGAGGAGTTTATTAATGATACTGTCATTCAGTTCACTTACTTTTTTTCCTTTTAGAGTCCTAGCTAGCCCACAGATTACATGATCACATGTTCATTCAGTCATTCATATAGAACACAAACCACCATGCATGATTTCTTCTTCTTTCTTTTTCCTCTCTGCCTTTTTTATTCCCTCTGAGTTGCTTTGTCATGTTCTCTTTTATCATTAAGCTTAGTCTTTGTCTTCCCCTCGCTACTATTTGTTCTATATTTTCCCATGCTTGGTTACTGCAATATTATTTGATTAACGGGCTGTGATGATGATGAACCTGCACACTGGAGGAGCAGCTACTACAGTGGTGATGAAGGGATGTAATAATGGTCGCTATCCTCGGAATTCTCTCTACAGTGACTGCATAATAGAAGAAAAGGCAGTGGTCCTGCAGAAAAAAGACAATGAAGGATTTGGATTTGTGCTCAGAGGGGCAAAAGGTATGTGCTTCTGTGTGTGTGTGTGTGTGTGAGATGTGCACTGGCATGAAGAAATTTATACATCTCTGAATATAAGCAGGAATTATTCTTGGTGCACTTGGTTGCTAGACAACAGGATTCTCTATATGCTGTACTACTCAGACGGATTTTAGTGGCTTCTGTCTGAAGCAGTTTGCATTTTTACATAGGAGAAGCACTGTATAATCGTTTGGGGGGAGAAAGTTTTGTCTGTATTTTTATTGTGTTGGTATATGTAATATTTTGTCGTTAATCTGTTTTGTTATGCAGTTTACCTAACTATGGGAAACCTGCTTTCCTTATAAAACCTGCTTCTTTATTTCAAATGTCAGTCTATTTAAATAGGTCTACGCATAGATATAGACAAGAGAGTGATGTTTTGTTTAAAATAGGTGTGGATCTTCTGCAAGGTGACATTGGTGCAGTTTTAGTATGAAAATATGATCTTTTTTTATATCTTCAGAAGCTGCACGTATGTTGCATGGCCTGTAGTGTGCTCATTTTAAAAGCTGTTCATATGTTAAACTGCATGTTACTTTTCTGTAGGCTAAAATTTATAATAATGGCATTCTTAAGAGTTAAAAAAAGCATTCTATTTAATGCTTTGCTTTTTAACTTTCAGTCCAGTTTGCTCCTTTTGTATTTTAAAAAAAAAATACGATGGTATGTCCCATCTCTTGCTCCCCCTCATTGTACATGGGTTCTCCCTTGCCTTGCTTGAGCATGAAAATTATTCCTTATCTTCATTCTTGGGACATCATTTTTGCTCTCCCTGTTCCCCCACCCCTAAACCAGTGCCACCATAGATTTTCAGTGTTGTAAAAGCTTTTCTAATTTTAGCTAAATAAAGATTTCTGGAGTTGTACTAGGAAAGCCAGTAGCGCTACCTTTTAGCTAACCCATTGGCATGAGTTCTGGGCATCGAGCAGAGGTTACTCCCTCCGTGTAAGCCCAACAATTTTGCCCAGATTTTCTCTGTAACGGTGAGGGCACCTCAGGTGAAAGACCCAAGGACTTTTCTGCTCATCTGTGTACGTGACAGAGAGAGGGCTGTTACACAGCCTGCTGTGCCTCCTTTCCTAAAAAGTGATTTCTTCTGTTATCTTCCTTCTAACAGACACCTAAGTCTAGAAGAAAAATTCAGTTTGATCTTTTTCATCCTTTCCCACCCCCCCCATTCGGCCAGATGCTCTCTTCTGGCTACAGCACGTAATTCATTTTTAGTTGGATGGTGCCAAGAGTTACAAGCATTTTGCTAGGCGTACAAAAGGGTTACTCGAACTAATGCTGAATATCCTGGAATACTCAGAATCCAGCTATTGCCTCATACAGCTTGATTTGGTTTGTGTCAGTAAAGAAGCATGTATTTTTCTCTCTGAATTAAAAGACCTGTGGATTGCTATTGCAGAGAGATTGCACTCTGTTCCCAGCATCTTGATACCCTCCGAGGCAGAGTCCTCTTACTTTTAGCACCCACCATTTTTGAACCGTAAATTTGAATGGCCAATAATAGGCCTTTAGTCAAGTGGTATTTGCAAGCACTCCATAACTTTCTTTTTTTAATGTGGTGTTTATTTTTAAAGCTGACACACCAATTGAAGAATTCACCCCAACTCCAGCCTTTCCTGCTTTGCAGTACTTGGAATCTGTGGATGAAGGGGGAGTAGCATGGCAAGCTGGCCTGAGAACTGGAGACTTTTTGATCGAGGTAGGAGATCCTGAAATCTGCTTCGCAGTGCTCTGTTGGGGAAACAGCGGTGTTCCCTTTGTAGAATTTACTGTGGAAAAAGTCTGTGATGCTTCTGAACAGCAAGTTCAGTGGACTAACACCAATAATGTACTTCACTTGCTCTGTCTTAAAATCTCGTTGCAGCATTTAGGAAAGCAGTTAAAAAGAACATTGTTCAGGTTGGCTGGGAATTTTCTGTTTGTTCTTTTTGTTATTTGGCAGTACACTGTCAGGGAAAATTGGAGGTTTTATTCTTCTTTGCATTATTGAATTGAAATTTAGATTAATTTCAATATTTCTTGTCAGCTATCAATTCTGTGGTCTTCTAAATATTCTTACAGAGTCACCAAAATTAATGACTTTTTATGCAACTGTTTCTGCAATCAGAAATATCAGTGGCCTAGTGCTGTTTCAAAACCACGGAGAATAAAGCAAATTACTTTGGCTTGAAATTAAATGTTTCCAACAGTGCACTATAAATACAGTCATACAAAAAATAAGCAATGGATGTTATCGCAATATAAATTACTTTGTAAAAAGGGTGTGTTTGAATACTCTCCTCATTCATACCAAAAATGTCTTCACATTTTATATTTTGGAGCATTTTTGGTTGGTATTTTAGGTTTTGTTGAAATAGTTCATACTCCTTTTTAGTGTTACTGGGCAGTTTTCAACAAAATCATGATTTGAGATTTTCTTCCTCTTCCCCCCCCACAACCCTTTCATGACCAACAAAGCGATGCTGTGATTCTGTGAAACTAGGTGTTGGAAAATAGTCTTTCAGGATGGATCGACCAAGTCTTTTCTGTGAGATCTGTTTATTTTATCTTATTTTATTATTTCATTTTTTCTTCTTCAGGCCCATATGTGTTTTGTTAAAGTATTCACTGGTGCTACAACGTTTATTTCTGCAGAGCTGGCCTTTAGGTTCGGAAGAGGATACAATAAGCAGCTTTTATTTGTTGTGTGCATTGAACTCCCATGGTGATTGAATTTAAATAGTTGCACTGCTTCTTCACATTGTAACAATGGAAGAGCAGGCTTTGCAGACTTCTAAAGTAGAGAGGTGCATTTTTGTCTGAGCCTTCAAAGTATATTTTTCTTACTGTTTTTTTTTTCTTAAAAATAAGCATATTCTTAAGCAATTAATTAAGAATAAGCAATTTACTTAAGAATTATCAAACTGTTAAACAATACCTTACAAATTGTACTGATATGTACTCTGTGCAAGGAGACTTTCAAAACTATGATTATTGACGTTAGGTGGGGTTTTTTTAAACAGTGCTTTAATTTTAGAAGTCAATTTCTTGTTAGGCTTTTAATCTGTAGGAAGTATGAATATTCTGTACTGGCTGATTTCACAGGTAGACTTGATGGTGAATAATGTGTAATTTAATGGAGAAGGATTACAGAATGATAACTATGCATATGGATATATTTTAAGATCTCTGAAAAGATGCAAGAAGTCCGGGTAACTGATTCTGCACAAGGCTTTACTGGTTTTCTGGCAAATGAAAGAAGAATTATAATTGATTGTCTAGACAATTTACTGCTGGCCTCAGCTAAGCAGTTAAACATGCCCATGCATTGCTGAATCAGGACACCAATCCATACTCTACACAGTCCAGCATATTTGTAATTAATTCTGAAAGAAGCAGTTGTTACATGCAAATCCAATCCATTTCTGTGCAATTTATGTTCATCAGGGTTATTCTGTTCTGAATTTTGCATCTTAATTAAAAGGATATGGTAATCCTGAGAAATCACAACTTTGCTGTTGTTGAAGACTTTTCTGTTGGAGAAAGCCAGGGGTTTTTGCTATGTTACGAACGACATGTGCAGTGCACAATAGTGTCTAGCTATAGAAAACCATCTTTGAAGATATTTACACTGATGCAAAAGATACTACTGTTGAAATATAAATAACGGGTCCACCTGCACTTCTAGGAGTGCCAAGCTACTTTATTTCTTGTGTTGAACCGAGAAGAGTTAAATGTGCTATACACTGCAGTGAGCGGTTATCGTAACTGATGTAGTTAGTCTGCCTTAGTGTTAAATGATTTCTCCCATTACTCTAAAGTTTATGCTGCTGTGTCGAAGTGCCACCTCAACCATTTGTAAGTAATATCATGCATTTATCATAAATGTCACATGAATAATAAAAGAGTTAATGGGCAACTAGGATCCTAATTAGTCCCATTTATAACACTTGCGGCAAGCGTCAGGCTTTGGGGAACTGAGAGTCCAGTTTGGCAGAGGGCAAAATGCAAGGGAGAGCAGATGTTTTGCTCTTGCTTGAGGAGGTTCGATGGCTTGGGGTCATGGAGGTAAGGGGAACTTTTTCCCTTCCTCCTCACTATCGACAGGTTTGACAGGAAGATAGAGCCTTTCTTTGGAGATCGTGAGGGTAGGTGAAGGGTGAGGATCGTAAGGGGAACCTTTTCCCTTCCTCCTCACTATCGAAAGACAGGTTTGACAGGAAGATAGAGCCTTTCTTTGGAGATCGTGAGGGTAGGTGAAGGGTGAGGATCGTTTCCTCAGGTCTAATTATGGTCTCTGGATCTTCTGAAGGGGGTAAAACTTCAATATCAGCCACCAAACATACTAAAGTAGTTCAATGTTGAAGATGATGCATATTGAGCAGAACAAATAAAAGGTCTGTACCGAAAAGGAAGAAAAGGTGTTGTCTTGCTTCAGCAGGTAAACAGAGTAGATATTAGCTGGAACAGGGTTGGCACAGTATCATTTGGCTGAGTTTTTATCGAATTTGCAGTTTTTCTGAAAAGCCACGTGATACAGATTTGTCCAACCTGTAGAATTAATTTTAACGTGAGACTTCAGAGACTAACGTTAAACTTGCCTTTGGAAATAGTATTCACAGACTCTTCATTGAAATTTCTGACAATATATGGTTTTTCTCCTTGCTTCAAACCCAGCCATATTTTTTGTGATAAGAATTGTAATGTGTGTAGTGGCTTTTCTGGATAGAGCAAAAATAAAATGTATTGGAAAAGCACATGAGTAGTTTTAGAGCTGAAACAGTTAACTAGAGACAACTGTCATTATATTTTCATAAGCAATTCAACAGTTGCTGATTCGTGTGATTTTTCTTCGCTTGATAAACGATCAGAAATGGAGCATGGTTATGATTGGGTGGTTGTAACTGCAAGAGATTATATAGCTTGCCCTGTTTGCTATTTTTCACTATTTTAGTTGATGTTTTCTTGAATCTTGGTATCTGCCCAATTAAAAAGACAGATAAAAGTAGAGCAACATATTACAGCAAGTGCTATCCAACCTAAAAATTATGGTTTCCATTAGAAGGGGATTAAAAAAACTACAACCATCATTAAGATATACACCAATTCTAAAGCCATTGTAGATCATTGTTAATTTATCAGTGACTGGATTTCTATGTACACTTGTTCAAGTTTGTAAATGCTTCATCACAAAAAATCAAACCATAAGCTGATTGGATTTGTTACTTGAAATATTTGCACAAAAGAAATGTATTAGCTCTTACTCTAAGTCGCTTATTTATGAATAATCTTTATGGACCTAACCCTTCGTTACCTTTGTTTAGTGTAGTAGTCAAACTAAGCAGAAGTAGAGGAACCGTTGAATACTACTGTTCAGACAGTGCTGCCTTAAAACGTGACTTAAAGAGTTCTTTAAGTTGAGGTTGTGTTTTCTTTTGAGATCCGCTTTGATGAAGAATAAAGAGATCCATTAAAATGGAAGAGGTTTTTTAAGTCAGAATGGTTTTTTTGGTTTTCAGTATAGTAGGCTATAGACTATCTTACTAAATTAAAACCCAGAGGATTATTAATTATTTGTTATTGTTGTACCCATGAGTGTGCAGCTGTTTTGCAGGTGTTGCATGATGTGATGTGTGGGGATTTTGTCATCTGCCATAGAGCGTATCTCATACCAAACAATAATGTTATAATATCAATACTTTGCAAGTGAAACTAATTCTGCAATATTTTACCATAATAATGCATTCGTTCTCTAAATGAGGCATTGCAGTTTGCATTATTGTGCCATAAAATCACTTATTTTTTGAGATAAATTGAAATGTTATTGTCTTCAGAAGAGCATGGCTGCTTATTTATATTCCAGTTAAAATGTAAACTAGACAAAACCAGTGTATTATCCATTAAAAAAAAAGGAAAAGCAGAAAAAAAAGTCAAAATTCATGGTTTGATTTGAGGATCAAAACCAGAGATGGTAATAGAAGAAATCTCATCATTTTGCTGCGGAACAGTTCAGTTGGTACACGTACTAAAGCATGCAAAATGGTCTGTAGTATAACTGCCTGTATTTCTTTATCCTCAAGAGCTTATAGAATTTACTAGTACCAACTTTTCTTTAAGTAACGATAGGTGGAAAATAGACATAATTTTATTACAGACAGCATTATTTTATCCTTGTATCAGATGAAGATATCTGTCCTCTGACTGTATGTAGGAAGTGGCAATAAGCATGTAGGGAGACATTTAAAATACCTGGAATATTTTTTTTAAAAAATACACACATACACACATGAGTAACTTTAGATTCACATTTAGCAATAGGTTAGATTTTTGGTTTATTCCAGTAAATACTTTATACAAACTTCAAAACTCATCTGGAAAGCAAGCTTTTAACTTTATTGTTGTAACTTAGACTATAGTCATTGTGAATATTTTTGGCAAGCATAGCAATGTTATGTCTTACATTTCTATTCAATGGCTGGATGAATTAGTGGTTTTACAAAGCCATCTGTTACTGAATTAATCCTTTTAGTAACAGAGAAACCTTCCCATCCTTAGGTAATCTTCATTAATTACCCTGTGGCTGAGTTTTTTCTTATTTCTATTGTGAAGTTTCCTAGCTTCTGCCACCAGATATAAATCTAAATTTATTTTTTTTTTCAGGCAGCTACATGGGGACCACGATATTTTTTCTGTCTTGGAAATAAACTAAGGCTTTGTTAGTGTCTTTGTAATAACATGGATTCTCACATTGTAATTTTTTTGCAGTTGTTTTCTGAAAGTTTGTTCATATCCTCCCAAAAGTGTGGACGCCAGCTCGATGCAGTACTTAGTAAGAGCCTCCCTAATATTGTGTGTAGGAGGAAGAAAGAAAGAACAACAACATTCTTAGATTTTTTTCTATGCTGTCTTTACGTCTCACACTGAGGCCTTTTGGCGGACCAAAGGAGTAAGGTTCTCCTTAGTTCACTATCTTGCGTTAGGGCTCTTTTGTTGCCAGTTTGGCCGCTCCTG